TTTTTTATTCACCCAAAGTACCTTTGCCCATCAGGCTGCTGGCTGGCATAACTCCTGGAGCTTGGATGTAAAGACAAACACACTGTGTTTAGCCTGCAGTCGAATTTATTTGAAGTAAACAATTTAAAATTATTATGTTGACTTACAGCCCTGCAAACCCCTTCATCTGAGAGCTTTTATTCTGCTTTATTTTGTGCATTCTCTCATGGGGCTCTCTTGCTGTCAGGGCAATAAAAAGCTTGCAGAAATCCCCATTTCAGTATTGAAGTACTTGTCTGGAATATTAATAATCTGGTACTTACCCTTCGAGCACACTTCCATCAGCTTGTTTTTCCCCAGTCTCTCTGGCTAAATGGGCCAGGAGAGGGTATCTGGGCACAGGGCTCCTTGGGAAAGAAGTTACCTTGGGTGATCCTGGGCAAGTAGGTCAGTGCTGAGTGTTTGTGTAACACTGGTGCTGCCTGGGATCAGCTCCCAGCCTCACTGCCCTCGTCACTGGGGATTCTGGCTGCAGCCCCCAAAAGGGGAACTGTTCCCCAGATGCTGGTGGCAGCTTGCTGTGGTGCTGGGTGGGAGTTTGATGCCTTCATCCCAGCAGGCTGCAGGGATGCTGGCAGTGGGAGGGCTGGTGTGGTTGGTCCTGAGTGGAGCAGGACATTAGAAGTTGCCTATTGTAGGTCCAGAGGGTCGTGGTTGGTGCTGTGGGGAGGATTAGGAGGGGCTGCTGTGTCAGTGGGACCCCCTTGTTTTGGCAATCCCACCCTAATCCTACTCTAGCAATTAAGACTTAATGGAGAAGGAATTGCAAAGGTACAGGCAAGGACCAGCACAAATGCTTTATCCAGAAAGAGTAAATGTGTCTGGGAATCCTTTCCAGCTGACAGCCATGGGAGGTGTTTGATTCCTGCATGTCTCCTGAGTGCCAGTTCCTTGAGAAACAGCCAGGCTAGCACATGTACAATGTTACCTCTGGTCCTAGAATCACAGAGTGGGTTGTGTTGGAACCTTTAATGGTGATCTCATCCAGCCCCCCTGCAGGGAGCAGGGACATCTGCAGGGAGAGCAGGTTGCTCAGAGCCCCAGCCAACCTCCCCTGGAATGGTTCCAGGGATGGGATCAACCACCTCTCTGGGCAGCCTGGGCCAGGGGCTCACCACCCTCAGCAGCAACAATTCTTTCTTCCTTCTCTCTAGTCTAATTCTCCCTCTTTGAGTTTCAAACCATCCCCCCTTGTCCTGTCATTGCAGCAGGCCCTGCTCAGAAGCCCATCCTCATGTTTCTGATAGGCCCCTTGAAGCCCTGACAGGTCACAAGAAGGTCTCCCCACGGGGTCAGGACGTATGCACTAAGGACTGAAGAAAACAGGGCTATAGTCCTGGCTCAGTAGCCATGCAAATGTGCCTAGAAGGAGTGACTGGGACACGAGTGGTGCATTAGGAAAGCTTATTTTGCATCCCTGGAGCCACACTTTCTTTTCAGCAGAGCCTCCAATAGAATCAGCTGCTTCTGCTTACCATAGTTCCGTGCCTTGGGGACATTTTCCTTCATGCTTTTGGACTAAAAGGGTATCTGTACCAAGGGCCACTTCACTTTTACAGGATTTGGGGAAAAAAAAGAGGAGATAGGAGTGCTCAGAGTATTTCTTGAGGCGAGAAATTGGGTGCTAAGCAGCTTTTGGAGTGTCAGGCACCACTGGAGAAGCTGGGCTTCAGCAGCAGCTCAGGGTGGTGAAAGGGTCATGGAAACGATGCTATGGTTCTCAGCCACTGTTCCTTTTGTGACCCTGCTAAGCCAGGTTGCCCCCAAATGGGGGATCACAGCAGTGGGTGGCAGAAGCAGTTTCAGACCCTGTGTTGATCACCTTTTGATCAGTGCCTGGTTGTCTGACAGCCTGGAGCTGGGAGATGGTGGTGCAGCAGATGTGCTCTGGGAGGGGAAATCATCCAAATCCTCGGTGTTGGGGGAGCTGTGCTGAGAGGCTTGGCTCTGGGGGGCTTCAGCCACGGAGATGGTTGTGGCATTGCCTCTCTGGTTTGAATTTTTATGCCTGAGGCTCTTTCTCCTAAAGAGTGCATGCTCAGACACAGCCAGGAGATTGGGTTTTGAGCTCCTCAGGACTTTTTCCCATTCCTGGCAGCGTACAGCGTGGGTTGATCACGTTCCCTCTCTCCCCTCTCTCATGGATGAGGGCAGGCAGCAACCAGCCTGGCCTACAGAATTTCTTTTGTCTGTTTGCAGAAACATGCCAAGGGGCAGGATCTACTTAAAAAAGTCTGCGACCACCTCAATCTCCTGGAAGAAGACTACTTTGGTTTGGCCATATGGGACACGCCGACCTCAAGGGTAAGCAGCTGCTCTGGTGTGTGTTCTGCACCTGGGGGGGCTCAGCTCTTTCAAAGGATCATCTTCCCCCAGGGAGGAGGGCATGGATGAGCTCTTCTTAAAACTCCTTTTGGTGTCTGACCCCCCAAAAAGACTAAGAGAGTCATCATAGAGGCAGAAATTGTGATTAAATAACTACAGGAGTGTGGATTTTAGTAAAAAAGCTGCATGAACTTGGGTCTTCACCTGGAGAAAATTCATTGTATTTGCTGCAAAATGATGCCATTAATTTCTAAAGCTGTAGCTCAAGAAATCAGGGAAAGATAAAGGTTTTCTGAGTCTAGAAAAGCAGCAGATTTTAATTGTGATTTTAAGAGGCTAATTACTCTTGGGCTGTGGAAGATGAGCTCAAATGCTGAAACACTGCAGGGGAACGTCACAGTCCTGGAGCCTGTGTTCACCAAACTGAGCAGCAGTACAAGCTGCCTGCCCTGGCACTGGTGTCATTTTTGTAAGGTTTGCTCAGAGCCATGCAGAGCAGATTTGAGTTGAGTAACCCCCCAAAAGAACACACCTGACCCCTCATACCAGATCTCTTACTCATATGGTTTCGGTTTAAGGTCTTTGTTTGGTTAGACTCAAGCAGTGTCTTATCTTTTAAACCCTTGGTTATGCTTTAACTCAAGCAATTACTCAGGCAGTTTCATGAAGCTCACCAGAAGTGTGTGAAACTGAAATCAAGGGCTTGCTTTTATGTCCTTCAGACTAGTTATGTGGGTCCCCATCCTGACTATTCCTGTGCCTCACCTACAGCAGTTGCTTATGGGCCAGGTTACTACACTGATAATAATTTGTCATCAAATAATGAATTAATAAATAAATAACTGCGAGTGTGAATTTTTAATACATGGGCAAAATAACTCCCAAATAACCCCCAGGACTCCTCAGATCCAGGTGAGCTGGCAGAGATTCTTCCAAAAGCAAAACTCACTCTGTTGCAGGGCAGAGTAAGCTGCTTGTGGTGGAGGTTTGATTTGCTCTGATGGAGGAAAATGCCATTCTGGGGTGTTTTGTTTTTTTTAATGTTACATTTCACTAAACTTTGAAATCTGAAGTTCCATCTCTGTTTTGCTGTACCATCAAATGAGGCCTGACACTGGGTTACTGATTCACAGGCAGCAATGGTCTTAGTGAGCCTCTGCACCTCACCCACAGCTTTGCAGAGCAGTAGAGATGCACGTGTGTATTCCTGGACAGGGAAAGGTGGTATGTGGGCTTTTTCACCTTGATATTTAGAGAATAAACCTTCCTGAGGACGAGGATTTTCCCACAGGGGACTAGCAGAGGGTGCCGGCGGGAACAGGAGGTGGTTACAGCAGCTAAAGCAGCTGGTTGGCACCAACCAGAGCTAGTGGCTCTGAAAGGGAGGGTTGTTTTGCACTGATCCATGACACAGTGTGGATAAAAGTGCCATTAATTGCTGTCCCTTCATTGTTGGCCAGATGAGTGCCACGGCTGCAGGACTGTACCCTGAAACCCGGCCACCACCACTGCAGCAGGGAGCAGCCGTAGCCCCAGCGTGGATGTAGAGATGCTCTGCTTGAAACAGTGGCCCTAAAATACACCCAGTGGCGTGGCTGCCTTCCAAAGGGATTCTGTATCCCCAGTTTTATAGGTTAGAGGGGCAAGCATATAAAAAGATAAGATTAAATGTAAGTATCGCTCTCTCCCTGCCACGAAGTTACGTGTCCTTCTGGTCAAGACAGATTAGCTTGGGGGATTCAAGGAGTTAATTCCTTCACCTCAGGAGACCTGGTTGTCCACATCCTGCTTCAGGACTCCTGGAAATGAGGGAGGTGGTTTAGTGTAGCCTCTCCAGGAAGGCTGCTAGCACCACACTGTCCCCTTCAGCAGGGCAGACCCTGACCCCTGCAAAGGGCCAGGCTCAGACCTGACGTGCCAGGAGCTGCTCAGACCATGCTGGCAAAAGCAGGAGTTGCTTTCAGAAAGTAACACAAACCCCCAAATTACAGAGTTGGGGGGGAAAAAAGGATGTATTTCTAGATTTGTAGCTATGATAATTGCTAGAAACTGGAGTCATGTGTAAAAGGGACAAGGTTTATATCATGCTGCTGTAAAAGATTCCAGCCTGCCCCAGCAATGGGATGTTTTAGTTCATTTTTCAGGGATTAGGTCATTAAAAACTATCACTAATAATAGAAAGTCTTGGCAATCTTTCTTCTGCAGGGGTAAGTTTGGAGACAGGGTGCCTAAAATGAACACAAACATTCTATTTGCCTGTTTTGAAAGGTTCTGGAGAAAAAAAGAGTGTTGCATAAGTGCCCCTTGTAGCTGGACGTGGCTGTGACTGAACCTGCTGCCTTGTGCCTGCAGCCCTAATATGCTGCTTTTTCTTTGCCCTCCTGTTTTCTTTGCCTCCCTTACAAGTACTTGGTAGGTGAAGGGTTAGAAATGCACCCACCAAGACCACAGACTGGAGTAAGAGTTGTGAAGAACTCCTCATCTCTCCAGTTTCCACAGCTGCATTTGTGCTAGTTGTTGTCTTTTTGCTGTATTTGAAACAATTTGCAGTTTTCTGTGGTATTTCTGAAACGTCTGTTGAACTGTGAATGTTTTTATCCTCTTACAGACATGGCTCGATCCTGCCAAAGAAATCAAAAAACAGGTTCATGGTAAGTGGATCAAATTTATTCCTGTGGAGGGGTGGGTTCTCCCTTCTTCCCTGAACAAGCATGGCTTTGGCAGGTGACCCAGGGGGCCCAAGGGTGGGTGAGAGTTCAAGTGAGGGTGTCTGGCAGGGATCAGCACAAGTTGAAGCAGCCTGCCAATCCTTTCTCTTCTTCTTAAGTACTTAGTGATGCTCTAGATTTAGGAGAAAATGTCATTTCCTTGGGAAAATGAAGCTTGGGGTGTGTTCACCCTATGCAGACCCATGCTGTCCTTGCTGCTGTGCAACCCTCAAGTGAGAGATCTGCTTCCTGTTGGGGAATGGGAAAATAGGAACCATTTAAATCTCAATGGAGACTGGGAGAGCCCAAGCAAAATTGTATGTTGTAGCAAGTTTTTATGGGCTCTGAAGCTGGTTTGGGGTCCCAGTAGGGATACTGGAATGATGAATGGCTCAAGTAGTATCAGGGCAAATACCAGCTGCTCTCCTAAGTTGTGTTTTAAGGTCTGCTAGCACTGAATTAGTTCAAGATGAGGGCAGTGTCAAAGTTAAATAAATTTTTGAAACTTTTGTTGCCTCTCAGGAGCAATCTGACTGCTTTGAAAGCAAAATACTGTTTTATGGAAGTAAAATACTGGTTTATGGCAGCACAATGCTGTTTTACCTGTGCTTTTGGTGGGGGGATGCAGAACAAAGTGTGTCATTCAGCACAGGCTAGGGGGGAAGTGCTGCAGGGCTGTGGAGTAGGAAAAAAAGCTCCTGCTCTTATCAGCTTCTCTTTGAATCAATCCCAGGATGTGTGTAAAGGGCACGAGCTACTCCAGCCCTGCCGTGCAGGTAAAACTCAGCTCTGAGGTGTAATGAGCAACCTGCTGTGGAATCTGATCCCCTGAGATGGGTTAAATGGCAAATTATTTGAGTTTGCTTGAATATGTGTTGGATGTACATATGGCTCTCCCTACCCCCGTGTCTGTTGGTTTGGGAAAGCTAAAATGTCTGCTCGGGATCCCTTGTTTTGAGCTGTGTGTAATGAAAACAACATGCCTTGTGTTTAATCCCAGTTATGGCGTTGCATAAGAAGTAAATCCATGAATGCTGCATCCCCCCTCTCCCCTGGTGGAGATTGAGATAAATCTCTGAGCAAGTTAAGCACAGGGATATCTTCTTTCTGAAATAAATATTACTTCAGACTACTGCTAGAGGGCACAGGGGGGGAGTTGTGGCTATGAACATTACTTGGAGTGTTTAGTGGGTCAGTCAGGGCTGTTTTCTGTGAGCAACTGGGGTTGTTTCCAAGAAAAAGAACACTTGACCCCTTCAGCTGTGTCACCTAGACCACAGATGAGGCCCTTTGGAGGTGTGATTCTGTGGATTCTCACTCCAGTTAGTGCCTCTAAAGGTGCCGGAGGTTTGCAGCGAGCTGCATTGAAGCAGTTAGGTCTGGACTTGTAAAGCTCTTCCTGTCTCAGTGCTTGCTGGTTTCATCCAGAGATTGATGCTTGGGGTTGTGCTGGGTTTAACCTGTGGTCTGACCACCCGGCTGCAGGGCATTAGGCTGCTGAGTGAATTAGCACATCTGCTCTCTAAGAGAAAGTTGAAAATTGGGTCGAGTGATGAAACAATACGAATTCATTAGCTTGGAGCACACGCCTGACCTCTCTTCCTAGAGTCATGAGTCCTTCCCTTCAATCAGTGAAAAGATATGAGTAATTTAGCCTCTTGGTGATTAATTTAGTTTTTTCTACAGGTTGTGTTTTATTCATGTGTATTTACTTGCTCCTGCTTGTATCTTAGCTCCTGTGAATGAAATCATATCTTACCCTGCCTGCTAAGCAGCAGTGAAATCACTGTTCCCATCTGCCAGCTCTGAAGGTCTGACTGGATATTCCCAGCTGGGAATCAGATCAGATTGGGACATTCCAGCTTTTCTTCCAACGACTATCACAAAGCTCTTCTGGGTTGTGTATTTTTCTCACCTTCTTTGTCATTGCAGGAGGCCCCTGGGATTTCACCTTCAACGTCAAGTTTTACCCACCGGATCCAGCACAACTGACAGAGGACATCACCAGGTGAGAGGTTCCTGGGCATCTTGCTGCCAGGCAGGGAGCTCGTTCAGCAAAGCAGGGAACACTGAATCAAAATTGGTAATATTTGGGTGATTTCCCATCCTTCAGCAAGGAGATAAGATGTCTGAATGGTGTGGAGGAGGTTTTGGTTGGTTGGTTTTGGTCCACTCTCTGTTGAACTCTGCACGTGTAGAACAGCATCACTGGTAATCTCGGCATTTGTGTGTTTGTATAGAAATGTACATTATTATTTAAAACCAAGATTTTCTGTTGATAAGTGTCCTCTAGTCCTTTTGCAGAGTGGAGAGGCCTCTTGTCCTCGCTGTTTCCTCTGGGATTATTACCCTCTAAGTAAAAATGCAGATAGAAATTAGAAACAAGCAGCTTGCTGCATTCATCAGTGGCATAAAAAAAACAGATTGTGTTTGATCCTGAAGTTTCTCTATGCTCCCTGTAAACTGTGTTTTGCTTTTCCCCCTTCCTAGGTATTACTTGTGTCTTCAGCTTAGACAAGACATCATCACGGGGCGGCTGCCCTGTTCCTTTGCTACTCTGGCTCTGCTGGGTTCATACACAGTCCAGTCCGAGTTGGGGGACTATGATCCTGATCTGCACGGCCCAGATTACATCAGTGAATTTAAATTGGCCCCAAACCAAACTAAAGAGCTCGAGGAGAAGGTTGTGGAGCTTCATAAAACGTACAGGTAAGGTGCGGTGGCTGGAGGACTTGCTTGTGCACAGCAGCCTGAAATAAGGGAAATAAAGGGGCATTGTGGTGTTTTCCCCACCTCTGTTGTAAACTTTGGGTTTCCTGCTGCACCAATTTCTTTGCAACAGAAGTTTTAGCAGTTAGGTGTGAATTTTCAGCTACTGAGAACATCAGCTTCTTAAAAAAGATCTAACACGTTGTATCAAAATCTTCCTAGAAACTGGAATTCTTTTTTCCTCTTGAATAAGAAATTGTGTTTTTGCAAAGCAGATGCAAAGACTTACAGTTGTTTGTTAACAGGTGCTCTTCTTCAGCAGTACAGCCATGAAACTGAGTTTGGGTTCCTGTGAAGAGACAAAGTTTGCTTGTTTTAACCTTGCCTGTTCTTTTATTATTATTTTTGCTTTGGGATTTATGTATTTTTTTGTCATTGCAGTCTGGCTGGAGCAGTCTTGTCTCTCTGTCTGTAGCTGTGTTTGGGGTTTTCTGCTGCCACACTTAATCAGTGACACTTTGTAAGGTGGAAGTGTTCCAGGGGGTGCAGGAGGGGTGAGCCTGTAGTTAGGCTGTTCTCCCTGTGCTTCCCAGTGTGGCAGTAACCTGGGCAGATGTGTCTTGTTTGGGCAGGGTTGAAAGACTCCTGGGAGTCCCCCTGGTACCAGATTAAAGTGTGACCACAGCTAAACCTCCTCCTCATCTTACTCTGAGCTTATTTTCATCAATGCCCTCGAGGTGCTGGGGTTGGGGGAGCTGTGCAGAGCCGAGGGCTGGCCTGGGGAGCAGCCACCCAGCAGCTTCTGCACCTTCTCAGAGATACATTGGGGGTTTAGGGGGGCAAAAAAAAGCCCAACAAAACCACTCGGTGACACCGAGGTCTTCAGCTGGCAGCCCCTTGGCCTGTGAAGAGCTGCTGGCTGATGCTCTAGTAATGAGAAGAGAGCAAAGAGAGACCTTCTGGCAGGCAGCTGGGAGCTGGTGAGGGGAGGGCAGTGGGGAAGGGTGGCCCTGTGCCCCTGGCTGTGACCAGAGCTACAATTAACACCTCGCTCAACCCCAGCAAATCAATACTCTCAATTGATTCCCCTCCATTTGCACTGAGAGGAGAGGAAATGAGGGAAAATAAGTACTGGGCCGCTGACAAGCTTCGTGACTTGAAGTCAAAGGCCGTCAGCTGTGCTGGAAGTGGCAGAGCACGTTGCTGAATTATTCATGGCTTCATTAGAAGGATAATTCAAGGTATAGGTGTAGTTATATTTAATCTGCTTGTGCCTGCAGGAGGGAGTCATATGTACCCGTTTAATTTCTGGTCTGTATTCTGTGAACATTAAACTGTCAGAGGGTTTTCAAGGGGAAGACTCTGCAGAGCCATGCTCCAGCTCTGGCTGCTTCATTTACAGTGATGCTGGAGGCAGCAACTGCTCCTGGGTCTGTCCTAGAGGATTGTCCTTAGGGCTGTCTTTGTCTGCCCCATCTCCCACCACTAAAAGCTCTGCTGGCATCGCACACAAGACGTGCAGAGTGCTCTGTAAGGAAGACATCAAAGCAGGGAGCAAAATGAAACGCCTGCAGCTGAATGCTCCCCAACAGAGCTGTTAGATGTACCTCATACACCAGGAACTTATTAACGAGGGCACTTCAATAACGTTGATAATGACCTCCATTATCAGGATGTTTCTGTTAAGCAAAGTTGCTCTGGGTGGCCCCTCCTGCAGACAGGGAACCATCTGTTCCCAGAAAAGCTCTCATTCATCTGGTCTGCCCCAGCAGGAGTCGCTTCCCAGTGGTCTCAGCTGTCCCTATGTTTGGTTTGGAGAACAATAGCTGGGGTTGGGGGGGTCTGGGGGCAGGAGGTGTGGGAGGATGGTACCTGTCACCCTCTGCCTTCAGCTGACTTGGTGTTTCTTCAACTGAATCGAGTTTTGGACCCCATACCATGCTTCCTTGCTGTCTTTTCTGGGGTCTGTGCAGCTCCACAGAGATAAGGTGCAGCTGCTCTGTGAGGATCTCCCAAAGCACAAATCTGCATTCAGGGTAATTTAAGAATTCATCATCTGGGCATGAATTTGTGTTGAAAGCAATAGAAAATCTAACAAAGAAATGATTTTGTGAAGTCTGCTCTGTCCCCTTCTAAAAGCAGCAGTTACAGGAATACGAAGCCCTTTTTTCTTTCCCTAGATCCATGACTCCAGCCCAAGCAGACCTGGAATTTCTTGAGAATGCAAAAAAGCTGTCAATGTATGGAGTCGACCTTCACCACGCCAAGGTGAGAATCAGCCTGTGTGCACCTGCCTGGGGGCTTTGTAAGCTGATGGTCCTTCCCTTGCAGGAGCAAGTTCACCTATTTCAGTAAGCTCCTTTTGAAAGATCTGGGAAGTTTGGAAGCACAGACACACAGCAGAACTGCCTCAGGCACTGTTGCAAGTGCTGTAAGAGGAGTGATTCTTCCTGATTGCTTATTATTTGTGTGTTACACAGCTACTGATGTAGTCAGGTCCTTGCTCTGAGGAACTTAGAATAGGGCTCTGCAAGGCGAGCCACTCCACTTAGAGGAAGGCAGGACAGACCCTAGCCCAGCCTTCTGGGCAAAGATCAGCAGAAGGGAGGGGGCTGTGAGGAAAAGGGTGAAGGAGAAACAAGCCTGGTCCTGGCTGTGCAGGGAGCTGGAAGCTGAGGTCAGGGTGGTGGGGAGATGAACTGGGGGGAAGACGAAAGAGATGGTTTAGAAGACACTGACCTGCAACTTGTAACCCTGACACTGCTTAAGTCCTCATCTGCTTTCCTAGGACTTGGAAGGAGTGGACATCACTCTCGGAGTCTGTTCCAGTGGCCTTCTTGTTTACAAAGATAAACTGAGAATCAACCGCTTCCCTTGGCCCAAAGTCCTGAAGATTTCCTACAAGCGCAGCAGCTTCTTCATTAAGATCCGGCCAGGGGAGGTGGGTTCTGACTTCCTTGTGCTCATGTCTTCTTTAATTACCTTCTGGTTCTCACCAACACGTATGCTTCACTAAACCAAGTCGGGGAGGGAACTAGGTTTTCTCTGAATGGGCATTTTAGACTATTGAGTTTCTGATCTTGGCTTGGTATTAAGTTCAGGTAGACCCCACTGACCTTCCTCAAGCTCTAAGCCAGTGAGTGACATTTAAACAACGTGTCATCCAGCACCACCTCCTGGCACCGTGTGGTATTCCCAGCATCCAGGGGAGACTGCTGGGAAGTTCACAGCTGAAACTGGGAGAGGACTAACTCCTTTTTTGGAAACAGGGCAAGACAAAGGCTCTTTGTCTCACTTTGTTTTAAAAAAAAACAAACAAGAAAAACCTAAAAAAAAATTGACACCTTTTCACTGAGACTGCCTCAGGCAGAGGGTGGCTGCCCTGATGCTGCCTCATGAACCAGGAGATCCTTGGAGCAGCCTGGAAACACAGTGGGGAGAGAGGCTACAATAAGGAGCTGCATCTTTCCTCCAATTCTTCCTCCTCCTGCTTTGACTGCCATGACCCAGCCTTGCCAGGAGGACAGGTTTTGACCCCGTCCTGGAGCTGGTGATGGGTCAAGTGATGAGTCAATGAGTCTGAATGCCTACAAACCAACAACACACTCCTCTGCAAATCCCAGTGCATCCTGATTGAGGCCCAGGCTTGTGGCCAAGCCTTGTCTTTTCTCAGAGCTCCTCCTGCACATCACAGAGTGAGTTCAGCTGCTCTTGGCGAGACCACCAGTTTGTGCCACAGCAGGAAGGTCGATGGGCTGGGGACTGGATTCCTGCCACATTTATTTCTTGCTATGCCTAAAAACCCTTTTATTTTCTACAGCAAGAACAGTATGAAAGTACAATTGGCTTCAAACTACCAAGTTACCGGGCAGCAAAGAAGCTGTGGAAAGTATGTGTTGAACACCACACGTTCTTCAGGTGGGTTTTCCCAACGGTAGGCTTGCCTTGAGTAACTAATGCTTTAGGTGGGGTGCTGAGAATGAGCACTCCTTCAGTGCTCACAAAAATTGGGGTGAAATGGTTGCAGAGACAGTAAATGCTTATATTGCAATAAATTTCTAGGCAGCTTCTGCTTTCTAAGAGACATAAGACAAAGGCCTTTAGCTTAGGTAGATGTGGGCGTGCTGTTAGCGCGTGGTGTTCTCTCACTCAAGAGGCTTCTTTCCCGTGTATTTTCATTTCCCTCTCCCTGCCTCTTCCCAGAGCTGGGATTTTTAAACCTGTGCACGTGGTTTTTCAGGCTGACTTCCACAGAGGCCATCCCAAAGAGCAGGTTCCTGGCGCTGGGCTCCAAGTTCCGCTACAGCGGGCGGACGCAGGCGCAGACGAGGCAGGCGAGCGCCCTGATCGACCGCCCCGCGCCCCACTTCGAGAGGACAGCCAGCAAGAGAGCCTCCAGGAGCCTCGACGGAGGTGAGTGCCCAGGGCCTCTGCCCTCTCCACAGCAGGGTGCTGAAATACTCCTCAAATAGCCCCTAAATTTCATGTTTTATTAAAAAAAAAAGGATAAAAGCCACTTCTCGGTTTAATTCCAGACCTGGATATGAAGTGGAAATGGAATAGTAGGACTAGGGAGAACCGACTGGCAAAGGGTGGGTGCTGAAGGGTTTATGGCAAAGTCCTGGTTGTAGAGATACTTCCTCATTCAATGTCAATGCATTTTTCCTTTTAGCAAATCAGGAATTAAGCTATTCTAGGTTTGGTTTTGTTTAACATAGCTTTTCAGGCTCTGTAGTTTTCCTTCAGGGGGAAATTTGCCACAAGTGTATGAAACTTTTTCAGCATCTGTTAAAGTGATGCTGATTGCAAGAAAGACATGGACCTGCTGGGGCAGGGCCAGAGGAGACCAAAAAATGATCCAAGGGCTGGAACCCCTCTGCTGTGGACCAAGCTGAGAGAGTTGGGTTGCTCATCCTGGAAAAGTGAAGACTCCAGGGAGACCTTTTGGTGGCCTTGCAGGACTTCAAGGGGTCTGTCGGAAAGCTGGGGACAGACTTTTGAGCAGGGCCTGTTGGGACAGGACAAGGAGGGGATGGTTTGAAACTCAAAGAGGGAGACTTATACTAGAGAGAAGGAAGAAATAATTTTTGACACTGAGGGTGTTGAGCCCCTGGCCCAGGCTGCCCAGAGAGGTGGTCGCTGCCCCATCCCTGGAACCATCCCAGGGGAGGTTGGCCGGGGCTCTGAGCACCCTGCTCTAGCTGGGGAGGTCCCTGTCCCTGCAGGGGGTTGGACCAGATGACCTTGAAGGGTCCTCTCCAACAAAAACCAGTCCATGATTCTTTGAGCCTATATTAATTTTTAAAGCCCATCAAGTCATTCTCATTTAATGAAGGATGTAATAAAAACGGAAGAAGGGTTGATTAAAGAAATGAGGGCAGATTATGTCATGTGAATCTTCATGGTCCTAATGACAGCACTTTTTGGACTGGGAAGTTTTTCCTCTCCTAGGCCAGACCCCCAGTGCCCAGGCCCCCACAGTCCCACTGCTGCCCAGGGCGATGGGCTTTTGGTCCCTTCCCACCCAGACTATTCGAGGATTCTAATGTTGAAATTTGTGGCATACAAATCAGGTGGACTCATCCCTGAGAGTTTTAAAAGAGCTGGATAGCATCAGGTTAGAGGAGGTGAGGCATGGAATGGGGAGTCCCTTTGTTTGCTCCCCTTGATCTGGATCATGGGGTGCTTGTAAAATTGGGATCTGGGAAAGAGGAGCATCTTTTGGCACCAAGGGCACCTGACAAAGCAGGAACAGTGTTGCTTTTAGCAGCCCTGAGGTCATGCTGCAACCTGGGAGGGAGCAGGGCTGTCCCAGCACCCCATGGCCAGCAGCAGCCAGGCTGCCCCTGCTCCTGGCATGGGTTTATGTGGCTCAGTGACACCCTGAGCCTGGGCTTCATGCCTCAGGGCCAGGAGAAAGGGCTGCTTGGTTTGAGCTCTGTACAGCAGCAAAGGAAGCTGGCTGCTTGCCTGCAGCCCAGCACCAGGCCCTGTTACCCAGGCACGATGCATGGAGATGAGGGGACCAGTGCTCCTGCTTGCCCCTTGGCCGTGCCCTGTAGACTCTTAAGACCTTAGATGAGGAGAGAAATCCCTGCTGCAAACCCACCCCTTGATGTCAGAGCTTGGAAAAGAGCAGCCCATGAATGCAGTGTGTCTGTCCCCGTTGAAGTCTGCAGCCTTTTCCATCTGCTGTGTGGGCAGTTGATAACATGTGCCCCATTTCTTCAGCTAAACGTGCGACTCAAAAAGTTGAGTTCAGAGCCGTAGAGGAGGAGAAGCAGGAGGAGGTGGTGGTGGTTGAGGTTCCTGAACCAAAACCCACGGATCAGATCCGAGAGAAGCCAGGTATAGCTGTGGTGGTGGCTACATCTCTCTGCAGTGCCTTTCCTATCCTTTACGTGCTTCTTCCTGACAACTCCCAAGTTTCACCAAATCTGGCAGCTTTTCTTTTTTCATTTCTTTGCAAGAGGAGTTTTGCAGTCAGAGGACAGAGAAGCCCAGCCCTGGGAATCTTGTTAAATTTCCACCTTGCACCTCATCAGACTGTAATTCTCACGGGCAGGAGGGGAAGAGCTGAGGATGTACTGGCACTTGACAACTGTCTCCTTATTAAATTTGGGTGTTTTTGTACATGTGGGTTAGAAAATGTTGACGTTTGATCTTGAAACTTCTTGGTAAAGCTTCTGAAATTCTTCAGCCTGGGACCTGCTTGCCATTTTGGGGCTTTTTTTGGGGGGGTGGGTTAGAGAAATGCCACCCATTTTGCTATATGGAGCTTATATTTCTCTTTAAACAGGTACTATTAATAAATACTAATAAATATTAATGCCCTTAAGAGGTGTGTAGGTACAACAGCATATTTGAATACTAATAAGTGCATCACAGCAGCAGTGTTGTCAAATATTTGCAGTCTTCATCACTTAAATTCTGGATGCCTGTGGTGCATTAGGGCAGGAGATAATTCGTATGCAGACGCATCGTGTACAGCTCCACTTCCTCCACCCAGGATGTTTTACAGTGACAACACTGCTTTTCTGCTATCAAATCTAGATCAGGCTTTCATGAAATAGTGGCAGACTGTCTCCCCACCACTGTCTTGCCTTGAATTCTTGCTAGTCAACGAAAGCCTTGCGCTGTAAAAATAGAAGGTGGAGAATTTAAGGCACCAGAGTAGATGGCTTCATGTCCTTCATTCTCAGATTTGAAGTCTATCACTCAAGTGCATTTAATGAAAGCTGCTGGTTTTTATATAGGTTTTTATCTAGAGGAGCCTGGGGGTGTTTTTCATGGGTTTTACCAGCCAGCACTGCATCTCCCCAGACTTTGCAGGCAGAGCCAGTCCCAGTACCACACTCCAGAGCTGTTTATGTGTCCCCACAGATCCCTGCCTGGGCAAGACACCTGCAGAGCTTATTTGCTGCGTGTGTTCTTTTCCCCTCTCATCCCACACACTGTTGGTGTCCGTGGGAAGACTGATAGGCAGTTGTGTGGTGGAAATCACTCTTGAGCTGCCTGGTTCTAAGAGCTCCGTGCTGCCTCGGGCAGGGCTCTCCTCTCCCTCTATCCTCTGCTGGTGCCCCTCCTGTGTCCCCGCGGTTCTCCAGCTGCTCTGTTAACCCCTGCGAACCTTTTTCTAGCCAAACACACTCTTGAAACTTTTGAAATGAAACCCATTGCAGAGGAGGAAGAGGAGGAGGAGAAGGTAGCAGTGGCTAAGGTTCCCGTTGCCAAGCCAAAGTTCCCGGAGCCGTGGCCGACGCGGTCAGGTACAGCCACAGGCACAGTGGCCATTGGAGTGGCTCCCGTGGCCACCCTCGCTGTCACCTGCTGGGTTGGAGTGCTGCAGTGCTGCAGGACACGGGTGGCACCGTTTGAGGGGGTGTTTGCTGCTGTCACAGTGCCCCCTGGCTTTGCCAGTGTGCTGCAGGACGCTGCGTGACCGGGGCGTGCCGCGGAGGTGCCGCCTGGCTCCCTGCCTGCGTGCTGTGTGAGTGTGCAGTGGCCTCTTAACACTCCTCTGTCACTGTCCCTTCTTGGAAGGCTTGTTCCCTTGAGCTGTGTGGTGCCTAAAAACAAAGTTGTGTGCTCCAGGACTGCTGGAGGTCACCTACACTCTGATTTGTTTTCTTCGCTGCTTCCCTAGTTGAGTTTTTTTTTCAGTGACTCCACTGCTGCAGCCAAATCAACCTCAATCATAGTTAAAAGGACTGGAACAGGCTTCCCAGGGAGGTGGTTGAATCACCATTCCTGGATGTGTCTTAAAGCCATCTAGATAGGTGCTCAGGGACATGGTGTAGAAGTGGCCTGGTGGAGTTAGATGATGGTTGGACTCGATGATCTGAAAGGTCCTTTAGGTCCTTTCTAACCATACCAGCTCTGTGAAAAGCAGAGTTGATTAATCATTGCAGGAAGAGGAGGTTGAAACTGTGGAGGGAGGCAACTAGGAACTTCACCTTTTTTCTTAAATATTATAAAACACCCTAAATTGGCCCCTGTGCTTAGACTCGGGGATGTTCCATAGGACACACTGCAGCAGAGCAGACAGCAGCTGACCCGAGCACATCCAGGGTCTCCTGCTGCAGCTACCCCTGCTTCTCATTCACCTCCTGCACTTTTTCCTCCTCTTGACACTTCAGTTCCCAGTAGGGACCATTTTCTTGGCCAGGGAGATGATGGTGGGTGTTTTAAATCTTATATTTTGGAGCAGCTCTTCCTACTGTGTTTGAATGATCGTGTGTCAAAATAGCTAAAGGGCTAAACAGGAAAATACAACTCAATTAATGCAGTTCTGGACAGCACAGAGCTCGTTGCTGAATATCAAAGGAAAAGCCCAGGATCTTTTTATTTTTCCCATGCCTTGATGCTCTGAAGTGCTGTGAGAGAAGCAGGAGTCCCTGTAAAGAGGTGTCCCTGCCAATTTACAGTATTTCCTTTGCAACTTGGAGGTGGCATTTTAATACCTGCGTAACTTTTTTAGCCAAACCTGCTCTTGGCAGTGTTGAGATAAGCCCCATTGAAGAGGAGGAGGAGGAAGAAAAAATGGTGATGATGAGAGAACTAGAGCCAGTCCCAAAGGAGCCAGGTACCACCGCGGCGGCTTTGCACACCCGGCATCCTCCTGATCCCGACTGTCCCTGCCATCTCACTGTCCCCTGTACAACCCCCCCGCGGCTGTCACCGCTTCCAGGCACACACACACACCGGGACACGGCGCCGGTTGTCCTCCCAAAAGGACCACATGGTGTCTGGCTCACAGAATGAACTGCCATGCTGAGAGAGGGGGGAGATCACAGAGATGGCCGTGGTGGTTTGGGGACCTAGTTTGGGCTTGCAGGACGACGTGGTGTCCAGGAATTTGTCTTAAAAATTTTAAAAGTTTTTCAGTGTCTAAAAAACTCAGGTCCTTTTTTGTCCCTCCCTTTGTATTGTTTTGGCCACGTGGACACTTTGTTCTGTGAAACTTCTGCATGCACAGATGAGATGCAGATACCTTTTCAGTGAAACAGGAATTCCTACTAAAGACTTACTTAAAATTATAATTCCTTTTTTAACACCACCTCTTCTAGTGTCTTTGACTAGCTGGATTGGCACTAGTGACCTAGTGATGGCTGGGGTAGGTGACACAGTGTGACCTCATAAACTGTGATTTCAGGAGAATGAGACCACGTCAAAAGAATTATTTCAGGTGACTAGATGGATTTTTAGTAGACAGCCATAAAAACCAACGTCAGGAGAACTAAGGAGCTTATTGCATCTATAGGTAATCACAGTGAATTAATTTGGCACAGTATTGGCCTGAATATTTTGGAGGTCTTGGGCTTTTCAGGGATCGGGAACTGTCTGGGAAACCAGGAATTGAAGGAAGGAGTAGGCAGTTGATTTTGTGTGTACCTAGTGCTTGTATTTAAGACTGTCATCTTCCAGAAAGATGGTTTTTGGCTGCATGCTCTTCATTCCTGCACTGTCACTGACCTGGACATGCTGGGTGTCTTCTCACCACGGTGCCTTGGGCTGCAGCAGGACATCCCCCTCTCGGACACACAGCCCCAAGCCTGCTTTAAAGCCCACCTGGAATTTGCTGTGAAGTTTATGGAGCAATGCTTGTTGACTATTTTTTTTTTTTGTCTGAATGGCTGAAAAGATGGAGGAGATGGGGGAAAGTCTGTGTTGCCCTTCTAGAAACCATCCATTTCTGGCTGAGGAGATGCCAGTGAGTGGGGAATTCACCACAGCTATAAGGGTTTCTGTTTGAATGGTTGCACTGGAATGGAATTCTGTGTCCGTTGTGTGTGAAGGACCCAGAAATTGATGGCACAATGTCAAAAATAGGTTGGCTTTTCTGGTGTGGCTTCGCTTCAGAGTGCAAGCTTGCTTTTTGTAAACCACCTGGTGTGGGGTTTTCTTTAATTTTATTTCAACCATAAGGAAAATAATCTCAACTTCCCCGTACTAAACGCACAAGCTGCTTTGCTCAACATCTCTGTTTCTTTTCCCTTTTTTTCCTCCTCTCTTTCTTATTAAACGACAACACTGTAATTTGGAAAGACTTTACCTGGTGCTTTAGGAACGTTGCCTGCTCTGAGCCTCATCCTTGTCTGTGTCTCCCCCCTCCTCAGCAGTGGCCGTGATAACCCCCGAGAGGAGTCCCCGTCCCACCTCTGCCCCAGCCATCGCCCAGAGCCACGCTGCAGAACCAGCCCCAGCTAAGCCTGACGTGAAGGACACGGTGGCCACAGCTAAAGTGGAAAAGCAAGCAGTGAAACCTGACCTGAGACGGGAAGAAATGGCCCCGGAGAGAGCCAGGGCGGAGCCGGCTCTTGTTGACTAGGTTCGTCAGACCCCACGTCAGACCCCAGTCACTGCCCAGGAGGCTGGTGCCAGGGGGGCAGCAGCAGCTCCAAGGGCTTCCCCTCCCCGGCTGTGAGGGGTTTGTTCCTCACTCAGGTGGGAGGGAGGTTTGGGGAGCTGGCTCCTGGTGAAACTCCAGCCTTGCTGCTCCTTGTGCAGGGAGGGATGGGAGACCCAGGGCGGCCGGGTTTTGGTGGTTGCAGTCCAACTAAATGCACCTTGCTGATACGTGGCTCCAAAAGCTGGCAAGAGTTGCACGTGGCTCATGGTATAGTTGAGTTTGGGGCTCACCCATCTCTAGGCTGTCTCCAGTGATTCCTGGTACGACAGCAGGAACATTTCTCGTGAAATCAGTGACAGGGATCTGGTCCCCAGCCTGGGTGCAAACGTTTTTTACATTGATAGGCTTTCCCTGGGAGAGCTGTTCATGTGTTCCTGCACACAGGACTGAAACTTCAGTTGCAAACAGCACTGTTAACACCTTGAGGGGTTTGTTGTTTAAATGACCTTTTTTTAAACGTTATTTATGTTTCTACAAATGCCAGGAGAACATGCTCTGCTGATGTCGAGCTTTGTGTATTGCTCTCCTAAGTCAAAATAATGTGCAAAATTATTGTTCATCTGGCAGTGTCCTTAATGTTCTGCAAATGTGATTGAGTGAAACCTTCCAGTGTTGCAGCAGAGGTGTACACCTTGACATACACTGTTCACAATACACTGAATATTTAATTGTTCTCAGCGTTACTGAGCCACATTTTTGTTCCAATATATCATAGAGTGGGTCTTGTCCAGGAGAGAGCACTGTTAATTAAGGTTAGGAGATGGAGGTGAAGAAAGGACAATGGTTTCCAAAAATTTCCTGGCCTCTGTGACCAGGAATTTTTAAATGAAGTTCTGAAAGGACCTTCAGGCTGGCACTTCAGCATGTGCATCATGGCACTCAGTTCCTGTCGTGCTCTTCCTGCATGGCCTCTCACCCTCCCTGGCATTAAACTGAGAGCAAGTAAATTTTATTCATCCCTTCTCACTTATTACAGGGTTTATCCTAAATACTTAAACACTGAATATTTTTTTTTTGTCCTTTAAATGTAGATGTGGGAGGAAGTTGTGGATTTGAACGTGCCAAATTTACCCTGTTTCTCAAATGTAGCTGAATCACTTGACACCCACCAATGCTCTTGCCTCCAGAGGGTTTGGCAATCCAATTTCCCTGTAATACTTCCCTTAGTTTTGGGACAATCTTAGCTCTCCACTTAAGGGCAGCAAAGAACTTAATTGGTGCTGTTAGGCGTGGGTTTGTAGCTAGGTCTCTTCTCCCTGACTCTGTTGAACATACCTGTGCATAACAAAGCATTTTCTGTTTCTGAGAAGGTCGGTGTTCATTTGAGCACGTTGCTTTTGGGAAGGATTTCCCTGCGAGATCCGGCTGCAAGTGAAATCTGAAAACACTGCCTGGCAAAGCTAACACAAGTGGGAAGCCCCGTCTTCAGCAGCACTAGAGAGCACTGGTTTCAAAAGCAAATAATTCTCTAGCTGAAGGAATTATTGTGAATGTGCTGTTGACTAACAGACTGTCCAAGAGCTGCGGTGTCATTAACTCTTTCCGGAGAACTGCATGTTGGTTTTTGCATGTTTGCCCAGCATTTCAAAACCAACCTTGATGCAGCTGTGTTTGGAAACTAAATGGTCTCTTGAAACAAATCTACTAACAAGAAATGTTTTTACCAATTTATTTCTTAAATGTAGGTGAGGAAAGCGCACATTGAGGTCACAGTACCCACCACGAATGGTGACCAGCCCCAGGTTTGTGCTGATAATTCAGTTAGGTTGCTCACATATATTTTTTTTTAAGGTTAAACAGTGAGGTTCAACACAGTTAAATGAACCAACAACCCTTTTTTTTTTTTTTTTTATCACTACCCAACAGCAGCAGCCTGCAGAAAAAGAGGAAGAGCTGATAAGAATGAGGAAGGTTAGCCATTTTACACTTTCACCAAACAAATTTGCCATATCATTCATGCATCTCTAACCTGTTTAAAAAGACAGTGCTCCAGCTTCTTCACTGGCCATGGGTTGGGGTTTCTTTTTTTAAACTGCAGCTATCAAATATTTGATTTCCAAACGAAAAGCTTTTTGTCCCATGGAAAGTCTGATGGCTAAAATTATGTTGAATGATAGAGAAACGCTCGGTTTGATCTATAAAATTTAGCTTCTCTGTAACAAATGTAATTAGAAACCAAAGAAAACCATGTAGAGTGCACTGCAGGAGATGAAAAAATCAACCCTGTAATGCTTATTTGTCTTGATTAATAGAGGAGATATCTGAGGTGGGAGAAGTGGTTGAGAGACAGCTACTGTGCACGTAGAGAGCGTGTAAAAGTTACACCAGGCAGTAAGCCCCATCCCTGGGGTGAGCAGGCGTTGCTGTCAGGAGTGTGAAGTGGTGACTTCGTGCAAGGCTCCCACAGAAACC